CAGAATAGTTCAGATTTTATCCATCTCAGCCAACTATAGCATTAAGTCTGCTGAAACTTGTATCGGTAATAATATTTTTATAATCTGTAAGTTCATAATATGACTCAAGGAGCTACTTCTCTAATGACTAGTTTTACTTTTGCAGTGTTTTTCTGTAATTCTGCTTTTGCTTTATGTTACTTTGGTGTGTTGAGGATAAAAAAAGTATTTGACTGTTGTATTGTTTCATACCATCAGGTGAATCACCTGCGCTGTCTGCATGAGTTTGTGGAGGCCCAAGCAGCTTTCTATAAGCAGTGTCATTTCCACATGCAAGAACTACAGAAAGAGTTGGGAAGGTGAGAACCAGGTGGAAGGTGATTTGGGGTGACCAGTCATCTCCATAGTATCAGTTTGTATTCAGTTATGGCATCACATTACTAAATTGGTGTATTTCCGGTGTATGTGTAGGTTTGTAACTATGCTAGCTGTATACCAAACTCTTCACTTAAGGAAGTTCAGGAGGAAACAGTGATCAATTAATTAGTGCACATTGATCTATTTTGTTACTCCTTGATGCCAGCAATTGTTGGCCACAGCTGTTTGCATTGATACAAGGATGAATAGTTTTATTATTCCTGTAGGTTAAGTCATATATAATTAAATTCCCCCCGAATAACTCCACAAAAGGGGAAAATAATAATTGTATTGTTTTCTAATGCTACATTTATTGGTATGTTTCGATTTTAACTAAAATAATAATATAAAATGTTGTTTTTGGTTTTGACAAATCATTTTCACTATCTCTTGCTCTCAGTTCAGATGAAGATGTGTGAGTATGCTTAGGTTTTTCTTTCCCTTTGTGTGCCTGTTCTGACCTACTCATTTACCTGTTTTCTAATGCATCTCAAAATATATATTAAAAATGAATTAAGGAAAGTATTGTAGACAGGAATAATCGCATAAGCATATATTAGAAACATATATTATTAAGGAATATAAATCAAGACTGAACTCAATTCAATTTAGTTCAGTCTGGATTTTTAATGCAAGGATGTGGTGTGGTGGCCCTTTTAACCAGCTCATGTAGTGCTCTGAAACTCTTTGAAATGTACCCTGCCTGTCAGTATGGTATACGGTGCTCGGTAGAGAGCACATGATGCACAGGTGCAGAAATAATGGAATAAGACAGTAGTTTAATAGTTTAACTAAACCCTCCCCACTGGACACCCCACTGTTGTATCAAAGACTTAATAGATTGTGGAACTATCTTTTAAATCCTTGCCAGGTGGTAAAGTGTGTTGTCCACTTACCAAAAGTGCTGGCGCTTCAATCCCAGTCAAGACACCCCATGAACCCCAACTTTCCCCTTGACAGTGTGTGAGTGATGTGTGATAGAGACACTGCTGCACAGAGATGCACTGGATACCATTTGTCTTCATCAAATCACATGCAAATGAAACCAGACATCTACAGAATGATACCACACACCTCTTCTCACATCAGACTGGTCCTTTCTATGAATTTGCCTTATTATGCAAGAGATGTTAGATTACCTCCCTGCTAATTGTTGTGCAGTTTTATTCCACCCTCCATGTTTCATTCTTAGAATGCATAATGTTGCAAAAACTGCTTTATCACAATTTATATCATGATGTAGCAGTTTAAAACTTGTGTGAAAAGCATTATACTGATGCAATCATATAATTGGCTTCAACAAACTTTCTGTAATGTGCATTGGCATTTTAACAGTTTGGTGCACATAATGATAGGATTCTATGGAAAAGCATCTTTCCACAGTTAAGTCTGTTTGTAACGGCGACACACAGAACTGAACCCAAGAACACGACAACAGACAGTCTTAGTGCAGTCAATGTGGTTTATTCGCCGAAAGAGCAGAGAAAAGACAGGCAGAGGTCAAAACCAGGATATCAGTCCGTATAGCAAACAAATCCGAAGGGGCAGGCAAGAAGGGAATCCAAATGGGGTAGTAGTCAGGTCAGGAACAGGCAGGCAAGAGTAAAGAATATAACGCGGGATCGCTAGGCAGGAACGCACTAGACAATCTAGTGAATGAAACTGACTGGTATAAATACACAGATGAACTAATGAGGAAATGGGGAGCAGGTGAGTGTGTGTGTGGGGAGACTCATGTGAAGGGAATGAGGTGAGTTGTGGCTTGTAATGGTGACTGGATCTGAAATGACAGAGAGAGATGATTAGAAACAAGGCATTGGTAGATAGTTGTGACACTGTTACCCTCACACATAACTGTGAGGGCTAAGAGACCAGAGATGTGACAGATTAATTCAATTCAATTTTATTTGTATAGCGCCAAATCATAATATACATTATCTCTAGGCTCTTCATAGAAGGTCAAGACCTTAAAATCGTATTAATATAGAGAAACCCAACAGTTCCCACAATGAGCAGCACTTTGGCGACTGTGGAGAGAAAAACTCCCTCGAGAACCAGACTCAATGTGGGCGGACATCTGCCTCGACCGGTTGGGGTGAGCAAAGAAAAAGGGGAGGAGAGGAGGGACTATGGGAGATTTAAAATAAATTAAATGATCTATTAAATCTATTAAAATAAATAAATGAGTGTGGGGGGGCAGAGAGAAGTGAAGAAGTGCTCAGTGCGCAATGGTAGTTTCCCCCAGCAGTCTAGACCTATAGCAGCATAACTAAGTGATGGTTCAGGACTCACCTGATCCAGAACTAACTGTAGGCTTTATCAAAAAGGAACGTTTTCAGTTTAACTTTAAATGCAGAGATGGTGTCTGCCTCCTGAACCCAGAGTGGGAGCTGGTTCCACAGGAGAGGATCCTGGTAGCTGAATGCTCTACCTCCTGTTCTACTCTTACAGACTCTTGGAGCCACAATAGAGCCTGTGTTTTATGAACGGAGTGATCTATTTGGATAATATGGTGTTATCAGCTCTTTGATATATGAAGGGGCTTGATTGTTAAGGGATTTAAATGTGAGGAGCAGAATCTTGAAATATATTCTGAATTTTACAGGGAGCCAATGTAGAGAAGCTAATACAGGAGTAATATGATCTCTCCTTCTAGTTCCTGTCAGCACTCGTGCTGCGGCATTTTGGACCAACTGGAGGCTTTTCACAGACTTTCTGTGACACCCTGATAATAAGGAATTACAGTAATCTAGTCTAGAGGGAACAAATGCGTGGAGTAGTTTTTATCATCCTTCTGAGACAGGATGTTTCTAATTTTCTTAATATTGTGCAGATGGAAGAAAGTTGTCCTAGAGACTTGTTTTATATGTTGGTCAAATGACATGTCCTGGTCGAACACAACTCCACGGTTCCTCACAGTGGAGTTGGGGGCCAAGCTGACAACATCCAATGTATCTGTTCAGACAGTGATTCTCTAAGATGTTTAGGGCCAATTACAAGTACCTAAGTTTTGTCTGAATTTAGAAGTAAGAGGTTTTGGGTCATCCAGGCCTTAATGTTCTTGAGACATTCCTGAACTAAGAGTATCGGTCCAAGGACAGAACCTTGTGGAACTCCATGACTAACTTGCCTGTGCATGGAGGGGTCATTGTTGACGTTAACAAATTGAAATCTATCTGATAAATATGATTTAAACCAGTCTAGTGCAGTTCCTTTGATCCCTACATGTTGTTCCAGTCTCTGTAACAGGATCTTGTGATCTATGGTTTCAGAGACTAGAACAACACGAGTACAGAGACAAGTCCGTCATCTGATGCCATGAAAAGATCATTAGTGACWTTTAACAGTTCTGTATCTGTGCTATGATGGATTCTAAAACCTGACTGGAATTTGTCCAGCAAACCGTTACTATCTAAGTAATCACACTGCTGGTTAGCAACAGCTTTTTCTAGGATTTTGGAAATGAAGGGCAGGTTTGATATGGGTCTATAATTACCTAAAACCTCTGGATCAGTTGTGGGCTTTTTAAGCAGAGGTTTAATTACAGCTTCCTTAAAAGCTTGTGGTACGTACCCGTTTATCAAAGACTAATCTGATTGTTAATCTGATTTAATATGGAACTGTCATTTAGGGGGAAACCTTCCTTAAAAATTCTAGTTGGCTAATTGACAAGTTGTTGGTTTAGATGATGAAACTAATAAGGTCAGTTCAGGAAGATCAATTGAAGAAAATTGGTTCAAACATAAATCTGGTGCTACAGGTGGTTCTATGGTTTCAGGACCAGACAATGTATCTGTGCTATTCATGGGTAGGAGGTGGTGGATTTCATCCCTGATGTGAAGAAGTTCATGAAATCATTGCTTCTTAGGGTTAGAGGGATAGATGGGTCAGTAGTGTGTGACTTTCTGTCAGCCTGGCTACAGTGCTGAAGAGGAACCTGGGGTTGTTCTTATTTTCTTCTATTAATAATGAATAATAAGAGGTTCTGGCATTTATGAGTGCTTTCTTGTAACATATCAAGCTATCCTTCCAGGCTAGGTGAAAGTCATGATTATTGGTGGAACGCCACTTCCTTTCTAGCTTTCGTGATGTCTGTTTTAAAACACGTGTTTGAGAATTATACCATGGAGCTAATCTTCTCTGATTTGCCTTCTTTTTTTTTTAGCAGGGCGACAGCATCAAGGGTTGTTTTTAATGAGGCTGCTGTACTATTAACAAAGTTATCAACTAGTGTGCTGTAAAAGCTCTCCTGGGGTGGCCGAGAAGTGTGATATCCAGAAAAACGGAGCACACTCTCCAATCCCCCTTTTTTAAATGGTAAGCACCACCCTTTGCTCACACATTGAACTGGAAAGTCAGCCAAGATAGCCCAACAATGCTAAGACCATTCAGCATCTCAGGGCAAATGTCACACAGTGCCTTGTTGCTTAGGAGCTTTTTGACTACTTCAGTGACTTCAGCCAGGAATATTGATAAAATTTGCCTCAAGTCTTCTAACACTGCCTCTACCTCTGAAGAACTCCTAAACCTGGGCCAAATGTCCTCCAAGTGTTCTTTTCACTGACCACCGGTATGTCCAATCAGTTAGCAGTGCTCTTTCCCTGCTGAAGACAGTGTCCCAGGCCAACTGACAATCCTTTTCCATACTTTCATAGAACTTCTCCCACACATGCAATGTTGCATGTACTCACTCCACAGCTGCAGCCAATTAAGCCTTCTGTTTCCCAGCTGCTGGCCAAGAGACCTTATGCCAAACACACACACACCCTCAGTCCATGCTTCAACACGTACCACTTTGCACAGACCAGCATAGTCTCTTGCAATGTAGATGCCTGGAATTAACTGATGAAATGCTTGGTTTCCTGTCATGTGATGACACATTTGCTGTTTTTAGTTATTTTGTTAGTTTTATGTGTTGACTACATGTACTGTATGTTCTGACCATCACATCTGCCTGCTTTCTCTCAGGCTTCCCAATGCTTTTGCACTGAACTCCACTCAATCCATGGTTGCTGCTGGCACTGCAGTAGAAGACATCAGCAGCCCTGTAGAGAAAGATACACTGAAGATTGAAGAAGTACAGGCACCAGCTACAGGAACCCGCAAGGCTAAAGTACTTTATGATTACGATGCTGCTGATTCCAGTGAACTCTCCCTTCTAGCGGATGAGGTGAGGTTTCATTATCAACTAGCAGCCAGCAGGTCAGATAACATATATTGGCCACACTCACAATAATCTCACTCATTAATTAATGATTGATGAAGTAAACTATGTAGTTGCACAACTATGCAATGCCATTTTAAGGCTCTCTCACTTTCACACATGGGAGTGGTTTGGTTTGGGTTGGGTTGTGTTGTGTTGTGATTCATCGATGTGGTAGCTACTCTCCTTCTTTGAAACCTGACTTGTAACAGTTTCAGAGTATGCCAGACTGTATTTGTACGTGCGTGTGTGCGTGTAATAACCACCACAATTCCCCAATACTGTTTGACATAACAAATGACCACACCAATTACACTAAACCAGTAAAAATCTATTCTGAGGCATTTAGTAGTTTCTGACTCTGCATAAAAAAATCCTAAACCACTGTATCTGAACAATGTCTTAAACCACAACACTTAATGCCCTGAACCTCCCCTTAAAATGTTTGCAAAAGAGAATTGGCAATAGACAAAGCTAATAAATGGCTTCTTCCATTCAATCAATCAAATTTTATTTGTATAGCCCATATTCACAAATCACAAATTTTCTCATAGGGTTTAACAAGGTGTGACATCCTCTGTCCTTAACCCTCAACAACAGTAAGGCAAAACGGAAATAGAAAAAATAGATGCAATGTGTACTGAGAACATCAGGAAAATACGAGTATTTACAAAATCGATAAGATAAAGGTTTTAAGCCTACTCTTAGAGAGGGTGTCTGCCTCCCGAACTTAAACTGGGAGATGATTCCACAGAAGATGAGCCTGATAGCTGAAGGCTCTAGCTAAGAACTCTTTAAGGTGATGTCATTTAATTAAGGGCCTTGAAGGTGAGGAGGAGCATTTTAAATTCCAATTCAAGATTTAACTGGAAGCCAGTGTTGTGAAGCTAATATAGGAGAAATGTGGTTTCTTTATCTGGTTCTTGTCAGGACGCGTGCTGCAGCATTTTGGAGAAGAATGCGGCTTAATTTCACCATTGTAGAAGAAAAGAGTGCAACAAGATAGTGGAATTAGAATACAATGTTGAATACATGGAAAGGTTACATTCTCCTCATTGCTCCATGCAGATCTAATGCTGCTAATTTTTGGTTGGTTCCGTGGAGCAAAAGTAGTCAGTGGATGTTTTAGTCACATACCACATAGTCATAGTTCAAATGCTCTTTGTCTCATTTTGATTATTTATTGTGATAGACCAACATTTCCACCATGGCCAAGCACAAAAACAACTGATATTCCAAGTTTTCCTTGGTTTTTGCTGATTCCTGTCTGATTGTGTATACACTAATTCAAAATGTACATAAAAATGTTAGAAACTCACCAGTCACCAACTGACCACAGAAATTGATTGTCGAACTCGCTGTTAGATCTTCCTCATACAGGGGAGACTGGATTACATACAGAATTGTGACTGGCTGCACCAATGTCATTGTGTAAATGGGTGAATATACATGAATACTTTTAACGAAACAAGTTTTATATTGGTTGAGTTTAGAATGAGTTTGATATAGAACACTGTCTGTTGTCAATCTCACAAATTGCCTTGTCTGACATACTTTGCCTGAACATGATAGGTTTGGAATTCCACTTAAAAGCCAAAAGTGGTTCACAAAGCCTTCAGATTTGATGTCATTCGGAAAGAGGAAATGGAAAGTGTGGTGGTCAGGAGTCAGTTCCATTTTTATTTGTTTCTTGCTGCACGCAACATGCAAAGTTTTCCCACACAATAGTTAAGGGACCTGATAAGGTCACTACTGCAGCTCCTCACTGTTAGTTTGTTCGTTAGTTCAATCAATCAATCAATCAATCATATTCACAAATCACAATTTGTCTAAGTGCTAAGTGGGAATAACAAGCCCATTACTATGAAAGCAAGTTTCTGACTTTACGCAAATCTTCTGGGTAATGTTAACTAGCCCCGCTCATTACACATCATCTTTCTTGTGCACTTTAAAATAATTTCTTTAGTTGTGTCCTAAATTTATTTTGTTTAGCTTCAAATGCATTTTGACGAATGTGCACATTTGTACATTTTGAAATCTGGTCTTCACACTGTCCATGTCCTCTGTGTTGCAGCTCATCACAGTTTACACAGTGCCGGGAATGGACTCTGACTGGCTGATTGGAGAGAGAGGAAACCAGAAAGGAAAAGTGCCTGTCACATACTTGGAGCTTCTCAGCTAAAGAAAAACACACACACATACACTCATACACACAGTACACACACACACACACGTAAGTGTGAGTGGGTACTACTAAAGCCATGAGTATATTTAATTCACTTTCATTAGTTTCTCACACAGTTGTTAACTTCTATAGCACTCCTCCAGATAGTATAAGCAAAACTTAAGTTAAACACACACACACTCTTCCATGTGCGTTTCAGAGAGTAATGAAGTATATTCACTCCGACAGATAATGGAGACGCTGTTACAGTGAGTACAGGAAAATCCCCCTGGGGGATGGCTAACATTCCTTGTTTGTTTGGTAGTTTATTATGACAATGTTTTTTCCTATTTATTTCCTATTTATTGTTGTGCATCCCAAAGGGTTCAAGTGGACTGTTCTATGTTAGGATGAAGTTGAGCTGTGACAAACTGTGACTGACAAATATCATGAGAGGGATTTTCAACCAAATTCTATTGTTGATTTGTTTTTTAAGTGTCTTTTTTTGTCTCTTAAATCTGCCTTTTTTCATGAATTCAGTGCTGAACAGTGATGGGAACAAGTTCAAGACTTGTGACGCCTCCAAAATTTGGATCCACCATAATGGCTAGAACTTCTTTGTATAATTTCTGTTTATTGTGTGTCAGGGATAGAAGTGTGAGGTTGATAGGATCCGACTCTAAATTATGACATCTTTGAGGACTTTAATAAACCAAACATGCAATAAAAACTCCTCCCTGATGACAAGTCTTATTGTTAATTTCGTCTCTGCATGACAGACGCTCCTCATTGAAGAAGTGAAAACAGTTGGTTTAACAGACAAGTATGAACATCATCCATGCAACTTTGTTGTTCATTTTAAATTCACGGATAAGAAAGCTTCTGTTCTTTAACTTAATAATACCACATGCACAGACTTAAATCTCTCATGTTGAATCTTTTTTTAATCCTTGATGAAAGCATTAGATATGACAAACTTTAACTTAACGTTACTGTTACCTAACTGTCAAAACAATAACTGCAACAGCAAATAAAGTTTTTCACAGAATGGTTACCATCCTTGACTTTTGGGAGGCAGATTTGCCTTAACTGCTTTGAAATGAATGTAACTCTGCATTATTTTATGTGACAATACCATTTTGTGGACAGTCATTGATTTTTGCTTCCCACAGCACTGAAGATGTCTCTTATACAATATGAAAACCTGTGCAGCAAGTTGTCATGAACACTCCCATCCTAGCTGCCTTAAGAGGATGGGAAACACTGCTAAGGCCATCTGCTGCAAACCAGAGAATGTGCCCTTCAAAACAATAATGTCCAGAGACTTGATGTACACCACATACCGCATGCAAGAGTCTTTTACTCTTCTAATCATGTGTTTGTGTGATTTTTGGTTTGCCCTTAAGGGGTTTGGGGATTTACAGTGTTCCTGTTTGTTGCTCTTATGTCTGTTAATAAGTGTCTTCAGTCTTAGTGCTGCATGTGCTACAGCTAGTAGACTGTTCTGCTGGAAATGTACATGTGTAAACAACAATATGATTTAGCTACTTCTGCTAATGTGAGATCTGGAACACCCAGGATGTTTGCACTAAAACCAATATGCATGCAAGCAAATCAGGCCTCAGGAGCTTTTGTGAAATGAGCACAGTAATATGAAGTGCAAGCATCTGCTACCAGAGAGGTGAAAATAACCAAAACCACGGCAGTCAGTGAGACGAATGGGGAGAATGGGGTCTAACGATTCTTGTAGGTGGAGGAATGGATTCCTCATCATGTATCCTGCTCTCTACTCTTTGCCCAGTCCACAGTTTTCTTTTCGAAATGTTTTACTACTGCTGTTGTGATTCTGTTGTATCTCATTTTGTTTTTTGTTTTTCCAAAATATGTATTGCCTGTTCCTTTACCCTGAATGAATGGAATGTGTAGAGTTTAATAAAAAAAAGTCTGATTGATTTGAATTTAGTGGCTTTTTGTCACCTACTGTATATTCTATACTTTTATTAGTGTTGGGATTATTCTACATTTAACACTGCACCATTAAATGGTGTGCTTTTGGGCATTCAATACATTTAGCAATCAGAAAAATATTTAATATTAACATTAAAAATATTAATAATAAATAATAACTTTAATTGATTAAAGCTACCTTGGGGCACTACCCTTCAAATGAAGCGAAAAGAAACCATTTAAATATTGATTACGTCTAATGAAGTTACTAACTACAAATTTGGAACTCAGATTAATAATTAAATTAATAACTATAACCAAAATTAACACATCAATAGCTAGCAATGTTGACGGATATGGAGTTCTTGACTGTGTAGAGGTTGGCAAAATTCACACTTGTGCAACATTAATAAAGAACGTGTTAAGAAAAACATTTATTATGAGAATAATAAAGTATAAACACACGAACTAAAGGTGTTGGTGTATAAAGATGTGTATATGTGTGTGCGTAAGTGAATGAGATTCAAAATGGAGGCTGGCCACTTTGAAGACGAAGGCCCCCTGGAGTGGTAGGACAATGTGGCTGAGATCACATGTATGCGTTTAATTTGGGGAGATGAGTGTGTGAAGTGTTGGTGCCAGGTTACAGAAAGTAGTTAGATGCATGCAAAGAAAGAGTCTGATGAACAGCATGACAGAACTAATTTTTAAAGATGAAGCACCCTCGGGGACTGAGTTCTGGAAGATATTAGGTCAGGCTTGGCTACATACAGTACGTAGGCCCAACTATTTTTCACAAATAGTCGGTCCCAACATTAGTAACCAATCTTAAATCGCCAGGGTTGTAAGCTAAAGCCAGTGCTGAGTTACAGTTCCTCCAAATGACTATATAAGCAAAGGATTGATATCCTTTCCAACCAGTACTTTCCTAAGTTGCTCAATAATGTGGTGGTGATGTTGAGTCACGGTACTCTTATGTGATTTTAATGACCCTTCTTTGCCATATGCGAGAAGGAACAGAAAAATGTCACAGATGTCTTTGATCCAGTTCCATTGTCCCCACAGGTAGTTTTAGCTTTATGAATGTAGGGATGCAGATGTTAACCAGTTGGTCCTCCACACTGAAATATGGATTTCCATGAACCTTGGCACATTTGTTTAACATAGAGGATACATTTAAATGTCTCAATGATTTTTGGTTCCAGATAAACTTTTCTTACTTCACTGTACCATAGACCTTAAAAAAAAAAGCTGCAAACAACAAAAAATGACAGTATATTGTAGAACTGTTTGAAAACTAGTTGATTAGATCACTTCTCTCCCAAAACACAAATCAAATCAAATCAAATCAAATTGTATTTGTATAGGCCAAATTCACAAAACACATATTGCCTCAGAGGGCATTACAATCTGTACAGGGAGTGACACCCTCTGTCCTTAGACCCTCGGTTTGAGTGAGGAAAAACTTGCCCACAAAAAAAACCCTTTTAACAGGGAAAAGAAGGTGGAAGAAACCTCAGGCAGAGCCACAGAGGAGGGACCCCTCTCCCAGGACGGACAGACGTGCAATGGATGTCACGTGTACAGAACAAAGCAACAGAAACATATTGTACAATTACAATGAAAGACAATGATTACAGTAGCAGTGGTTAGCAGTGGTGGTAATATATATAGTGGTGGGTTATAACAATGCTACAATAATATACAAGTTCATATTAATGTCATAGAATTATGACTAATAATAATAACAGTAGTAGTGGATGTCAGGCAGGGCCATGGCAGTATGGCAGCCATGATCCATGACCTGGGAACAGCCATGATCCATGAGAACCTGCTGGACGAGAGAGCACAGAAACTGAGTTACTAAGTTTAGTTAGTAACATGCATTAACATGCATTAACTTGCATTAATAAGACATGTATGTTTACAGATGGTGATGATAATAGAGAGAGAGAGAAAGAGAGAGAGAGGGAGGGGTGGTCCCCTGGCAGTCTAGTCCTATAGCAGCATAACTAAGGGATGACCTGACATATACCAAAATTAAATACAAATTAATCATATTCAATAAAGAACGGCGAACTAGCTATCTTGCCAGACTAAACGAGATTCTTCCAGTTTGGTGGCACGCCATTTGCGTTCAGATTTACGTGCTTCTTGCTTTAACCTGTGAGTCTGCTGGCTAACCTCCTTTGTTTAATTATCTTCTTTTTCAGAGGTGCAATAGAGTCAAGAGTTGTTCGTAATGAGCCTGTAGTACTATCAACAAGATGATCTATTTGTCCTCTGCTAGATTGAGACATGGCATTGAATTCAATACTGACGGAATCACTAAATTTGGCTACAGCATTATCAGATAAACATCTGCTGTAGGAGTTTCTGCCAAAAGGCAGAAAATAGTCCAGTAATATGAACTCAAAGGTTATTAAAAAAATGGTCGGACAGAAGAGGATTCTGTGGAAAGACGATGATCAATTTCAATGCCATATGAGATAACAAGATCAAGAGTGTGGTTCAGACACAGGCTTTCTTGTGGCTCCAAGAGTCTGTAAGAGTAGAACAGGAGGTAGAGCATTCAGCTACCAGGCTCCTCTCCTGTGGAACCAGCTCCCACTCTGGGTTCAGGAGACAGACACCATCTCTGCATTTAAAATTAAACTGAAAACGCTCCTTTTTGATAAAGCCTATAGTTAGTTCCGGATCAGGTGAGTCCTGAACCATCACTTAGTTATGCTGCTATAGGTCTAGACTGCTGGGGGAACTCCCATCATCCCCCCGCCCACCACATTCATTCATTTATTTATTTTAATACATGGTAATGACTATTTCACTTTGTACTCCCATAGTCTCGCTCTCTCTTTTACTCTCTAAATTCAGATATCTCTGACAAGTGTTCCTGGTCTCTCTCGCCTCCCCCTCCTCTCCCTCCACACTATCACTCTCTCTTCTCTCCCCACTTTTCCACCCATCTCTCCTCTCCTCCCATTTTTTCTTTGCTCACCCCAACCAGTCGAGGTCGATTACCGCCTACATTGAGTCTGGTTCTAGAGGTTTCTCCCTATTAATGAGGGTGTTTTTCTGTCCACAGTCGTGGAAGTGTTGCTCATTGTGGGTGTTATGGAATTTTCATAGACACTGTCTCTTGTCCTCTCTGGGGTGTAGTGCAACAGGCTGTTGTGTTTGGGAAGTGCTAGAGCTGCCAAAGGTCAAAGCCTTCACTCCCTAGACGTGACAGATATGAGACTGCGTAAGCAGGCAACACTGTCTCCATAACTAGTAAATACATTTGATTGTTTAGGAACAAGCACACCCATAGATTAAATGATCTGTTGGGGTTTAAAGTGTGACTGCAGGAAAGCAGACTTCAGAATATGAGAGAGCATCATGCACAGATGTTGTATGGATGAATTCTGATGTTCTCCTTGGCCAAGCGTCAATAAATATTTCAGCATAAGACATCAAAGGGCTCCTGAATGCTTTCTTCATTGATGAGGTGACCACTGATCAGCAGATTTTCCACAACAATTGGCGTCAAGAACAGGATCTCAATACAACTAAGATGTGGTATGTTTAAATTAAATTTTGTTCTTGCCATGTCTACGTTTGACAAGATGGTTAAGAAACTGTGTGTTACTTTTCAATTGCCTTGAAAGAAATATGTTAAACATATTATCAGTTTAACAATTTTATCAGGCGGGTCAGGAATTTTGGTGTCTATCAATGGTCAAAACAACTCAATTCATGTAATGAAAATGCAGATGTAATTGATTAACTAAATCTGGTAACAGTTGGTTACAGAGKAAAGTGTGTGGTGGTGAAGAAAAAAAATAATAACAGATGCGGGTCATGTGTTTCTGACCCCCCCACATAGCCATAAATAAAGGGCTGTTACTTTTTCCGGGGTGGCTTCGGGCTGCACTCGACACAGAGGGACCCACCTGAGGTTTAAACTATAGAAAAGACGTTGTTGAAGTAGTGCGAAGAGGCCTATTTCGTTTAAGTCAATATCGGGGTTATCTACTCTGTGTCCTTTGGGAAAAGTGGAGGCTCTGTTTCGGATTTCTGATCCTGGAGTCTAGGCGCCGATAGTTTTAAGATTGTGTACACAAGGCAAAATACGAGTTTTTGTAAAATTTTTTACTTCAGACCACCACCACTATATTAAGAAGAAAAGTGTGAACTCTTTGATGCTGCTGCAGTGTTTTATTGATATCTGTTGATGTATATGGTCATAAATGTGCATGTGAAAATGGGTAACAAATCATCCAAAGCAGTGCGTGGAGGTGATTCTTAAAAAAAAATAATTCACCAAATTATGAAAAGATTTAACTACTTATCTGAGACAAAAAATGATTGCAATATGGAACAGAAAAGTCAACCTGTCATTGATAAGCCACAGGCTGAAGGAGGTGCACACACACCCACATCAGATCCCACATCACATTATAAAGCAATGTTTTCTCCACAAATGCCGGCTGGAATTGTTGGTCGACAGAAGGGATGGGAACATGCTTTCCCTTTTTCTTTGTTAATGTGTGAATGGACGGATGGTGCATGGCCGTATGAGGGGTCGTTAGAAAAAGAGAAGCTGCAGATGGCTGAGATGAATGTTAATCCTAATGTTGTTAACCCTTCTTGGAATTTTGGATACACGAAGGAGTGCATGCAAAGGTGGTTAACAGTAGCTCATCAGCAATGTGGAATCAGAGTGAGCAAAGGCAACAAATGGGGTTCTGACGAATTGAGAGAAATGGTGGAACAAAGTGCTAAAGCCATGATGTATGGCAGGGGCAAAGCTGACAGGGAAAGAGACAGAAAAGCTGCAGAACTAGAAAAAAGGGCAAAAAGTGCACGAGCACAAGACAGCAGCGAGACTTCTGATTCAGAATCAGAGGAACAGAGTGCCACACAGGAGAAGGAGGAGCTTAACACAGAACACAGTGCTGAAGTAGAGCATGTAGTGACACCAAAAACAACACAGACACAGACCTGTCCTGA